TAAAATTAACACCTAAACCTAAACCTAACCCTAACCCTTAACCTAACCCTTAACCTAACCCTAAACCTAACCCTTACCTTAACTTGAATCGGCTTGCTTTCAAAGCGCTATTTAAAGCGCCCTTTCTCCGCGCTCGCTGTTGTCGCCCTGCTGATGACGTCAGCGACGCGGTTTAATCAGGCGCGCTTTAGTCGAGCACGGTTTTGTCGTGCCACGAGTAGCTATATAGTATATAATAGCTCTTTATAGCAGCTCTTTTTTTTCCTCCTTCCGTCTGGCAGATGAACTTGCGCTCTTGAGAAACTGGACTCAAAAGCTTCAGGATTTAATGTAAGTAAATTTTGCATCTACAAATAGTCCTCAATTTACAACTATTCCCTTAGTGACTCTTCGGGGTTACAAAGGCCCTGAAAAAAGTGACTAGTTTTCATACTTATGACTGTTGCAGCATCCCCACGGTCACCTGATCAAAATTTGGACACTTGGCCAGTGACTCATATTTATGACTGTTTCAGTGTCATAAAGTGATCTGAGGGTCATGTGATCACCTTTTGTGAACTTCTGACAAGCAAAGTCAATGGGGGAAGCCAGTTTAACAATTGTGTTACTACCTTCACAACTGCCATGATTTACTTAACTGTGCCAAAAAAAGGTCACAAAATGGGGCAAAACTCACAGCCTCTTAGTTTCTAGTATTTTAACTACTACACCAAATTGCCTGTTAACAACTGACTTGATTAACAGTAGAAATTTTGGGGTCCACTGAGTCGTACGTTAAGGACTACCTATAATTTATTGATAATATGACCTTTGGGATGGAGTAGAACCAGGGGTGAAATTCAGCAGGTTCTGACAGATATCCTGCAGCGGAAATTTTGAGTAGTTCAGAGAACCGGCAAATACCACCTCTGGCTGGACCCAGAGTGGGGTGGGAATGGAGATTTTGCAATATCCTTCCCCCTGGAGTGGGGAGGGAATGGAGATTTTGCAGTATCCTTCCCTGCCATGCCCACCAAGCCACACCACGCCCACCAAGCCACACCCACAGAACCGGTAGTAAAAAAAATTGAATTTCTGGGTAGAGTACTCTGCTTTGAATATAAAGATCGGACTAAGATTCAATCAGCATTGTACTGTCTTTGAGTTACATTCTGCAATTAAGGTGAGATTGGTAGAAAACACATACATTTATTCATCAATTTGCTAAATTAAATGTAATATATATACTGTTAACTACCAAACTGAAAAATGTCCCTCAGATAAATTAATTAATTCATTATTAAATTATTTATTTCTTAAATATATATATGCCATGCATCTCACTTAAGAGCAACTTTGGATAATTTACAAATTTCTAACCAATATCCAGATCAACACAATAATAAAGGTGAGGTGGCACTATTTTATAAATCAGATTAGCTTTTCGGGAGTATCTGTGGATGATGTCAAAGAAGCCCCTTCCCTTTTCCACACATACTGTGGAGCTTTGATTATACGGCTGCCATCTTAACTTTTTTGACCTCCCCCGTGCCCACACACACACACAAGGATGCCCCGTATCCCTTCATTTTGCCAAGCCAAACTTTCTTCCACAGACTTGCTTGACTGACTTTTCTGTTTTTGTATTTCTTATAGGAACCGCCAGAAGGAGGTTATTGTCCATTTGCAGCAGGAGAAATTGTTGATACCTGACTGTGGTCACCAAATCTATCTCCATGTTGGCCTAACCTCCATGTTGCTTGCCGCTATTGTCACCCTTCATGTTTAAGAAGCACAGGTGGACGTAACGTGGCACAATGTGAAAACAACCAATGTTTTGCTTTTTCATATCAGCGGCTTCCTTGGTGCTGTCTGATGCCATATCTAGCATATCATCTGGGAGATAAGGGTGTTGACATTATCTAGAATAATGGTTCTCAACCTTGGCCGCTTGGAAGTGTGGACTTCAACTCCCAGAATTCCTTAAGCAGCCATGTTGGCTGAGGAATTCTGGGAGTTGAAGTCCACACCTTTTCAAGTGGCCAAGATTGAGAACCATTGAAGAATACAGTGGTGTCTGGAGCATGTGGTTTAAAAAATAAACATGGTGACCACAGTCAAAAATCCATAAAATCTGTGTATTTGCAACACCACCTGGCCACCATTTTGGTTTTCTTTTAACCACACCTTGCAGACATCCCTGCTATATAACCAAACTTTGGAGCAAGACCTTAATAAGAAATTTTAAGGACTATCCAGAAATGCACCTTTCTTATCCCAACAATGTGATTCCTCCCCTATACCCCCCCTCCCAAAAAAGTTCAGCCATGCTTAAATTATTAGTTCACTTCTCCTGGAATTCAAGGAAGGCAATAAGTATTTTCATAATTCTTTATTCATGTTAAAGTGTCTACCCAGAATTAGGAAAGAAAGGGATGAATCATTTGTGATTTCTGTCAGCGATTTGAATTCCGTTATATTCACTTTCTGCCTTACTTTTGAATTTTTTTAAAATATTAAAAGTTTGTATGCAGCTTTATGTGCATGTCACCTAACATGCATAATTTTGCCTGATCTGCATAGCTTGCACCTTGATTTAATTTAATTTTATGTTGTTTTAACTCTAAGTGCGCTTTGATATTTACTTTGCCTTTTACATTATTTTGTATCAAAAAGCGGGTAAGAAATTTAAATAAAACAAACAAAGGTGTTCAGTCCCTTCTTGGAGAGACATATATTACAAAGTTCAAGGTTTGTGCAAACGTAAAAAGAGCATTGTGTTTTCAGGTAGCATAAAAGATTGGAAAATGCAAAACTATGATGGTTCCCTGAAAATTGCTAGCCAAATGAATTCCCAGCCTTAAATTGTGAGAGTCACAAATGCAGCTTTTCCCAAAATCAGTTACTCAAAAAAATAGTTTTCATGGGTCTATGACCAGGATGGCAAACCTATGGCACGTGTGCCACAGGTGGCATGCACAGCCATTTGTCAGGGCATGCGAGGCATTGCCCTGTCAGCTGGCCAGCGCACATGCACACTCTAGCCAGCTCAGTTCAGCCTATTTTAAAGCCATTTTTCACTCTTCCCAGGCTCCGGAGGCTTTATAAGAGCTTGGGGAGGGCGAAAAGAACCTCCCCCCCGCCCCTAGAGGTCCTCCAGAGACTTCAGGAGCTTCCCTGAGGCCTCCGGAGCAGAAAAAAATGGCCCTATGGGCAAACCGGAAGGTTGAGAATGGACTTCCAGTTTGCTCATAGGGTCGGTTTAAACCCTCTGGAGTCTTCAGGGACCTTCAGGAGGCTTCCCTGAAGCCTCTGGAGGGCCTCCGGGGGGGGGGGGGGCGCAGGAGAGGCTGTTTTCACCCTCTCTAGGCTTCTATAAAGCCTCTGGAGCCTGGGGAGGGCGAAAAAAGCATGCAAAAAATGGGAGGGAGCATCTCATGCATGCATGTGCACTGGGGGGGGTGTTCACACATTGCATTATGGGTGTGGCACCGCCCACACACGACCCCGCTGCACTCCCCCCATTCATGGCACGCGAGCCAAAAAAGGTTCGCCATCACTGGTCTATGACAATTTGCCATGGCCAACTCACCACAGCTAACTAACCATGGCCCACTTGCCACGACCATCTCGCCACAGGACAATTCACTGTGGAACGAGTTACACTAATATCAAAGAAATGGTGGAATAGAATCATTAAAGAAAGTATGCAAAAGGAGGGATTGAATGAGATGTGAATGACAAAGATTTTATTTGTTTTGAATGATTAAATTTAATTTTTAAATTGTCCAGAGGCGAGTTGTCCATGACAAGTCGTCCCACAGCAAGTTGGTTGTGGTGAGTTGGTGGCAGTGAGTTGCTTGAGGCAAGTTATCCCATTCTGAGATTCCATGTTTGGTTGGGGAATTCTGGGAGTTGAAGTCCACCCATTTTCAAGTTTCCAAGATTGAGAAACACTGTGATAGAAAATTTGCTGCCATGGTTGATTATGTGGTACCAGGCTGATGTTGACTCTTAGTGACCACATAGAGACCTTCTAAAACAGGGGTCTCCAACCTTGGCAACTTTAAGACTTGTGGACTTCAACTCCCAGAATTCCTCAGAAGTCCACAAGTTTTAACATTGCCAAAGTTGGAGACCCCTGCTTTAAATGATTATGCCCCATACTCGTCCATTTGGTGTTCAGTGGGGTACATATCACTGCTATCGTTGAGACCATCCATCTTGTTAGTCCTCCTCCACTTCCCTTTCCTTCCACTTTCCCCAGCATCACAGATGTCTCCAGAAACCACAATCATACGTACACTACAATTGTCTTCAACTTACAACTATTCGTTTAGTGACCATTCGAAGTTACAACAGTACTGACTGGCTTTTGCACTTACAACAGTTGCAGCATTGCCATTGTCATGTGACTGCATAATTCAAATAACCAGTGATTTGCTTAACTGTAGGAAAAGTCATAAAATGAGGCGCAATTCACTTAACGGCCTCATTTAGCAACAGAAATTGTGGGCTCAACTGTGGCCGTAAGTCAAGGACTACCTGTACAGAACTGTAATCCACCTATGATCAGGTTGGTATGCTACTCTTCTCACCAGTTTAGGGTGGAATATATGAAGAAAAATGGTTAGTGGATTTCAGTCAAACAGAACACATGTAATAGCAATAGCCCTTAGACTTATATACTGCTTCATAGTGCTTTTTACACGCCTCTCTAAGCAGTTTATAGAGTTCGCCTATTTCTCCCCAACAATCTGAGTCCTGGAACATCCTCCCCCCAAGAGATTAGGACAGCCCCCACTCTGACACTCTTCCGGAAGGTGCTGAAGACCTGGTTCTGCCAGTGGGCCTGGGGAACCCAGAGCGGGATGGATCCCATTAAATGGTTCATGTGAGGTGCTGTCACGAGCAGGGGATGGGGGTGATTTTATTCTATTCATTTATTATATGACTCTTATTAGTTTTATTGTTTTTATATGAGGTTTTGTATTCTGTAAGCTGCCTTGAGTCGCCATGTGTGAATTGGCAGCAATATAAATTCCATAAATAAATAAATAAACACAAAGGCATTGAAAAAGTGACTTATGACCACTTTTCACATTAATGACCATTGCCGTATCCCCATGTTCAATACAATCCAAATTCAGATGCTTGGAGAGTGGTTCAGATTTATGACCATTGCAGAGTCCTGAGGTCATGTCATCACATTTTGTGACCAAGACCCTGTTTCTCATGCCTGATGGGGCTAGAATTCACAAGTCTCCTGGGAACTGGCTCAAAGTCACCCAGCCAGCTTTCATGCCTAAGGTCAGACTAGAACACTCAATCAAGAGTCCTGGTTTCTAGGCAAGTACTTTAACCACTGTACCAAAGTGGCTGTCCAAAGGATGTTTACCATCACTTTTGCCCGTTAGGAAAGAGCTTGGCCACTGTTCTGATCTAGGCTTCACCAAATCAGGAAGCAGACTCCTTGCACACACACACACACCAAAAAACCCTTTTTATTTGGCTATTGTGAATTCCTGGCATTCACATCCAGCAAAGTCCCGGCAAATAATCTTTCAAGGGTGAATTGCAACAACAGACCTTATCAGTCCTTGGATAGTTGCCAGGCTGATAGCTTCCAGGTGCAACACTGCACAATGAAATACTTGGCAAGGAATCTCTGTGAGGCACAGACTCAGATAAGCAAATCTTCACACTAAGAAACGAAATGATTGATTGTCTCCTGCAAACACCACTCCCCCTTTGCTCCTATTTATTGCCTATGGGAGGGGCCATTCAGCTTCCCCTTGCGCCTTTACTCCCAAGTCGACCTCTGTTCCTTAATTGTTCCCTTCTCCTAACAGCACTGCGCATGCACCAGTGGTGGGTTTCAAAAATTGTTCGAACCTACTCTGTGGGTGTGGCCTCCTTTGTGGGAGTGGCTTGCCGCCCATGTGACCGGATGGGAGTGGCTTGCTGCCCATGTGACTGGATATGAAGATGCGGACAACACTTGTCAGAACCACCTTAAATTACCTCACACACAGCACTGGCATGCATAAGAATAGGATGTAAACTTGTTTTTTAAGACATCTTTGGTTTGCATTAAAACAACTTCAACACACGCAATGTTCTGATTGCACCACATCCTTACCTTTCACAGAGGC